TGAGGTGTGTGAGGAGAAACGTACCTACCTTTAACTCAAAAACGAAAAAGAAATAAAACTCGACAAAACCTGGATCGATCTGAAAGCAAAAATTCAAATGTTAGTATGACGGTTAAAAATGAAGCAATTAAAAACTTCAATAAATGAATCATAAGTTAACTAAACACTCGAAATCATAATTTTCCACCAAGACGACACAATGTAAGCGACTTACAGCCTGACTCTCTAAAAAAAGGTCCCCAGCGGAGTCGCCAAGCTGTCATAACCATTTTTTTATAGGTAAAACAATTAAATATTATTTAAAACGATTATGACTTTAATTTGGAAAAATGAGTGATTTGGAATTAATTTGGAATAAATTGAATAGAGTCGCCATCGACCTTTGGGTTAGGTAGGTCGAATACCTAAACACGTCTTTTAAAAATAATTTAAAGAAAAAATCATTTTTAAGACAAAATTTGGTCTGCGTTTACCAAAGATTCGTTTAAAACAGGTTCGGAAGTCGGTTACGCGTGGGGAATGATTTGCACCCCACAGCGCCCAAAACTGGTACTGTGTCACTTACATATCGTCGTGATAGTGGAAAGTATGAATCGAATATAAAATTAAATTATGATCCATTTATTGAATATTAATTTTCTTCAAATAATTATTAGGGAAAATTCTTTAACTTGAAAAGAAATCTCGATATTAGCAATCTTCCGTCGGGAAAACTAACTCGAATATTTCTTATCAATTAAAGAATATTTCCTCCTCATTTATATTAAAAACGCAAATCGAATATAAATGAAAAAAACGACATTTACATAAATTGATTAACTAAAAATGAATCGATATAAATTCAAAATTGAAATTTACATTAACATAAAATAAAGTAAATTGTCACTTAAAATACACGAATTGCATCATTTGAACAAATTATTAGTAAAATATACTCGACTTATTTCAAGTTCCTATGTCGTTAAATGTCGTACTGGATCGCACCACTTCGTCCAAATGGTACTTTCCACGCTCATTCTACGCATACATGTTCTTGAAAATAAAATCAATATTTCGTACATACATAGAATATAATGAGAATAAATGTAATTGGAAATACAAATATTACATTAAGTGGGATTAAACACATTATTACATAATACAAATAACCATGTAATATGTAAATACATTCATACATAAATAAAAATAAATAAACATTACAAACCCAAAATAAAATACCCAAAATAAGCAATTAAGGGACTAAAATACGATTAACAGAAATTTAAAGGACTGAATAGTAAATGGCAAATAAAACAAAGTCCATATTACAAATATTAAATAATACAAGCATTAAAAATAAAAAAAGCCCAACAATAACAGTAAGGACTAAAATGAAAAAAATAGAAATGTAAGGACCAAAATACAAATACAGAAGCTTAAAAGGGCTAAAATAGAAGAGACGAAAATTTAGGGACCAAAATAGGGAAAACAGAAACTTCAAGAACCAAAATAGATGATATAGAAACTTAGGGGGGCTAAACAGAAATTAAACTAAATACTAACAGTGACTAAAATAATAAAGTTACAAATATTGCGACCAAATTCCAATATCCACAAAAATACACACAACACCAAATCAGTGACCTAAATGAAATAATTACAAATATGGTTCCTAAAGTAAAACATTAACAAAAATAATATAACATATAATAACGGGACTAAAATAGAAATACATAAACATAAGTGCTCAAAATAGAATAAAGAAAACTTTCAGTATATGATTAAAATAGATAAATTACAACTTCGAGGGACCTAAGGTGCTATTTACCCATTACACTTGAAAACACGAAAACCCTCCCCTTCATACGACGACGTTTTGGTTGGGATATAAGCTCAAAACGAGCTTTCTTTGTTTCCCCTCTCATTTGGTTTTGATTCAGAAAACAGAGGGAGAGAGAGAGAGTTTCATAACTCTCTCAATTCCCTCATAAGAAAAAAAGAAATACCACCGTCGCCGACGGCGACCATGGCGGCGCACGGCGGCTGGAGATGCCCAACAACCCTCAAAAGAAAACCTCTCAACCCCCTCTACTCAAAACCCCACTCCACTTTGCCTAAACACTACCCTAGTCTCCTAAATCTACCGATCTACCTCTCGAAACAACAAGAAACGGTGACCTTTGAACTCCCTGCATGCCTCCGCCGAACCTCCCTCCTCGGTAAGCTTTCTCTCTTCTCTCTTTTCTCTCTCTGTTTTCTTTATATTTTCTTTTTGTTCTCAAAACTCCCTCTATCTCTCTCGGTTTTTTTTAATTTTGGTTTATGGTTCGAATGCTCTCTTTTTTCTCCACTGGTTCCCTCTGTTTCTTCTCTCTTGGGTTTGATTAGAATAGTATAGGGTTTTTTCCCCTTTCTTTCTCTCGTTTTTCCTTTTTTTCCCCCAAAACCCGAATGTCCCCCCTCTTCTGCGTGCTTTGCTTTATCTTTTATGTTGCATCCTTGATGGATGATTGATGAATGGTCCTTTGTGTAGGGAAATGATTCCCTATTTTCTAGGATATATTTTCTTTAGATTTTATTTTTTGCTTTTTCTGATTGATGGTTTTTGACACTGCTCGATGGATGGATCACTATTGTTGCAGAAGAGGACGACGGCGGTGACAGAAGGCTGTCGGAGAGGGAAGCTTGGCTTAAATGGGTCGGCGACTGAGAAGTGTGGCTGACTTCGTCTGGCGGCGACGGTTGGATGATAGGGTTGAAGGTGGTAGTAGCTGAATTTTAGTTTAGGGTTCAAAACCCTAATTTGTTTTAGGGTTTGGGTTATATGTAAACGGGTATGGGTTAGTAGCTAGATTGGGCCAGTGATTTGGGTTCCAGTGGGTTTCTGGTTTGGGCCTCGGGATTGGCCTGCAAAATGTTGTAATATGTAATTAATAATAATAATAATAATTAATAAACAAAATAATAATAATAATAATAATAACAATAATAAAATTAAAATTAACTAGAAAAGACCCGGACAAAAACGAGTGTCTACACCCCCTAGGTTACTAAAATCTCATAAACAAGCATATACGTAGCATACGTATACTAAAAACAAATCATAAAAATGAATTTGCAATATTCAAATAATGAATTGAAGTTGTACGTATTGAAATACTAAGTTAGAGAAACAACAAAGGATAAAAATAAAGATTCGTAAATATTTTATGTTTTAATTTTTTTGAATAATTTCTACCTAAGGGTGAAAGAAGGAGAATGTTTGCTCCTAATGGGATATTGAACTTTAGGAAAAAGGGGAGTACCAACTAAGAATTTTTAACCTCTTATTTTATAGGTTATTGATTTATGTTTAAAATTTTTAAATTTAAATAAAACAATATCAAATATGACTTATTAAATGAATTTAACTTTTCATTTACATAGGAAAGTAACTTTCTCACCAATTAATAAGAGAATCAATTTTTATTATTTGTAGAAAAATAACTAAAAAAATTTACATTTTAAGAGAAGTAAATAACTTGCTCGTGAGGCAACTTCGATCAGGGGCAGTCCTATCTATTGGTCGCCTCCAATGGAGGGGTGGTTTAAGGTGAATACTGATGCTGCCAGGTCTGAGGTTGATGGTCGTGCTTCGTGTGGTGGTTTGATACGGGACAATATTGGCCGTTGGAGAGCTGGTTTTGCAAAATTTATTGGAATTTGTTCGACACTGGAAGCAGAATTATGGGGAATCTATATTGGCATGGTCTTGGCTTGGGATCTCGGTATTAGACGAGTGATCGTTGAATCTGATAATAAGGAAGCGATACTTCTCGTTTCAGGGGTTGCAGTTCGTCATGGTTTCCACACCATCCTTCTTCATATTCGTGATTTATGCCGACACCAATTGTCTGTCCAGTTTCAACATATTTGACGTGATGGAAATAAGGTAGTCGATAAATTGGCCAAGCTAACACCTCCAGATAGCTTTGATATCGCCCAGTTTACAAGCCCGCCGTTGGAACTTAGAACTCTGTTGCAGGCTGGCAGCAGTAACTATTAACTTGTAGCCTCTTGTTTTCACTTCTTTTCCCAAAAAAAGTTTTACATACCAAACTTTGGAATTATTGGAAACGTACATCATTGGTTTTCAGTGCGTAGCTTTGTTGGGTAACAACTCTTTTTCATTGATAAACTTATAAAATTTTAAGGGTAAAAACATATTATTAATAAAAAATATAAAAAATTATCTAAAATATATGGAAATTTGAAATTTTTAAGGAGACGACCGCCCATCTGTCCCATTCGGTCAATCCCTGTTTGCACATCTACCAGAGTTGGAAGGTTTTGGATCAACCTGCTAGAAATTTGCATTCTTGAAATATTCATTTTTGGATTAACCATTTTTAGCTAATGGTACCTTCGAAGCATATAAAAATATCAAATATTAGATCAGAGATGCCAGATAGAGAATATAACGAAATTTAACCCAATAACTCAATCTACTTTTAACATATTTTCAGTTCAGTTCGTAGATTCATCCAAAACATATTGTAAGAAGACTGCTGCAAAACCCTCCCAATTCACTAGTAAAATGGAGACTTCTAGTACCCATATGTTGTTCTCTTCATCATCCTCATGAACTCGTCCATATTTACCTCACCATCTTCTGCATTCATTCAAATTCATCAATGGTAAATTAATATTATTTGCTTGAAACTAGGTAGATGAACAAATTGTTGTATTAAGATCGAAGAAGAAACGTCATTCGTGCTTACTATCTCGATCAGCTTCTTCAATCATGTCCTGAATCTCTTTTTCAGTCAAGTTTACACCGAGCTCGTCGGCGATGCGTTGGATGTCTTGGGCAGATATCTTTCCCTGAATTCAAGTCAACAATCAAGCATGGATTCTAAAATAAAAATAAATAAAAGAAGATGTTTTACATTGTCATCTTGATCAATGATGTGAAATGCTTTCATAAGCTCTTCTTTAGTGTCCCTTTCACCAATCTTCGTAGTCATCATATACACAAATTCATCGAAGTCAATTGCTCCACTGCCATCTTTATCCACGTCTGCAATCATTTGATGGATTTGCTGGTGTGTGTGTGTTTGTGACACAGCAGATTTTTAAAAAATTCTGGAAAAATAAACCTAGTATGCTACATATATATTTGCAAAAATTACCTCTTCTGTCATCTCGAAACCTAGTGCCCTGTAATGCTATAACTTATTAGCTCCATCGTCATTGAGATATAAACTAAAAATGTAAAAACATATACCTCATGGCCACGTTCAGCTCTTTGGCATCAATGGTACCTGGACGGCAACATTTGGAATTTTAGAATACAAGTGAACATATATATCTGTATCCGACACTTAAATTCGAATTTGGATAACAGAGTGTGTAAGAATGTAAGGCCATGTACCAGATCCATCAGTGTCGAATAGTTCAAATGCTTCTTTAATCTCTTGCTTCTTCTGTTGGCTTAATCCATGGTGACGTACCTTATGCTTGTCTTTCCCAGGTGTCTCTTTATAAAGGCCAGCCTGATGAAGTGATCAAAACATTCATAAAACACACATTTCTTTTTCCGTACAAGATTTGACGGAAGCCATAATTGAAACACCAAAAGGCTGAATTCGTTTCAAATTTACAAGGAATATAAAGGTTCACATAATAGCATAAACCTAATCATTAGTAATAGAAATATAAAGAAAATTACAATGACTAATAATTAAATTGAACTTAGGGCTAACGTACCATTCTTAATTCAGATGAGATGAAAACTAGTTCGAGAAAAGTAACCAAAAGAAAGCAAGAAACTTGGAGAATCCAAGATCGATGTAACTGAAACGTAATAATAATATAAAAATACGGATTTTTAAACATTTGGCAATTGATTTTAATTACAACTAATGCCATCATGATGATATTATATTTGCTATAAATAAGTTTCATTTTGTCAAAAGTGATGGCACTCTCTAAATGGGAAAATTAATTCTATAAACAAATAATATAGAGAAAGTAACATTAAGCAAAGTTGAAGGACCCATATACGCCTTTGATTTTTGGCTCCCACAATTGCTGACTAATTCACCCACCTAACCTTGGAAATATACAAATCCATGTATATTTTTATTTATTTTATTATAAAAATACTTACTACAATATTGTTCCTAAAATTATAAAAAAGTACTTTATTCGTAATTTATAATTTGGGTGTTGACCAACTGTTGATGGGCTCAGTTGCAAACCTTGCCGCTTTTCATCACCACAGCCACGTGGTTAAAATCCACAGTCTTCATCTCTTTTGCGTGTGGCCCACCGTACACGATTTTCTCCTCGCGTGCCCGCTTCTTCCCCGCGCTTTTCAACCATACCCCAAACAGTTTCAAACTTCCGTTTCTTTCTTCGCCGTCGCCGTTTTCGTCATCGTCACAGTAGCAGCGGCCGGGAACATCGGCATCATGGGTGGGCCCAAAGCTTCGTTGCCCAATGATGCGATTGATTTGATCGGGCTCGACCTTCACGCATTCAGTTAAAAACGCGACCAGCTCGTCGCACTGCTTCTTGGCTTGCACCAGTTCCGAGCTCAGCATCTCGTTATCTTTTTTCAGTTTCTCGTTCTCGTCTGATAATTCGACGAATTCGTTCATGGTCGCCGGCTTCGTTTCCGACGATCCGGGATTCTTTGAGTCCGGTGATGTCGACGTGGAGGTGGACCCTAGGTCCTCACCAGAGTTAGCCGGAGAGGAAGGTCCCGCATCAGATGGTTTTCCGTTCGCCGGCGAATTTGTGACCGTCTTTCGACGACGGATTTCTGACAAGAGCTCTTTTTGCCCCCGCTTGAAGTGCTCGTTGGCAAATTCCCATTTATCTGGAACAAACTTTCGAAATCCCTATAATAAAACGGTGAATTCATTTATTAATTTTTAAAACAAACCAAATGAAAAATTTGGATTTAGAATATAATTGATTGATAAATGGACACAATTATTCCGTATCTGATCTAGGTTTAGAATAATTCAGAACATGAACAACTTACGTAAGTGTTGAGCTGACGGACGAAGCTGGAAAAGTTGTTGTGCTTGAAATAATTGGGAAGCAAATCCTTTGCAAAATCAGCAGTTTTCCAAACCACAAAAGACGTGCCGTTTTCATTCCATGAAATCACATCGTCCGTGATTGGATCATCCACCAGCTGGTACGTTTTCATCAAGAAAGGTGCCGGAACTGACCTTTGCGCCATCTTTTCCGATTAACCAAACCTCTCTCAAAATATAACGCAAACCCGAAAAATATATTCTAACAAAGAAGTATGATTACAAAAGAATAATTACAACAAAACAGAACAATTAACAGAAACCAGATGATTTAGGCAGAACAACTAAGGAGAAGAAGAGCGGTCAAGAATTCCCAACCCCAGCAATAGAACCCAGAGAGAAAGAATCGAGAGTGAACGGGGTTGTCGCAGCGTTTGCTCGTATCAGTTTCCATTAGTTAACGACACTAAACAGGATCATAACTCTTCGTTATTATATTTACTGGTGAAAATCAGAAGAAGAAAAAGATAAAAGCAGAGACCTGGATTCTCTCTCTGTTTTTGCTGATTGTTATAGGTGGGTTGTTTATAAAGGGAGGAGACGAAGGGTTCTAGAAAATTAAGAGGAGAGAGGAGCAGAAGCCTTTATTTATAAAGGAAAAAGAGAACACATTACTATAAAATAAAGCCGATGGACAGAGTCATTGTTTGAAAGGGTGGGAATATGAGAAAATGTAGAGTATTCGGATGAGGAAAATGGGGTTCTTTATTTTTGTTTTTACTTCCAAGTACGGTGTGTAAAAAAATGTGATCCGATCTGTTACCCGTTGATTGGATTTAAAAATTTGAATATCTGATTTATTTTTTAATTTTTAGATAGTACGGATAGTGTATCTAAAATTTTTTCTGGATTATCGGATCGGATACGGATCGATAAAAAATCATTTTCGAATTATCCGAAAATTCGAAAAAAATTTGGACAGTATCGGTACTGCTTTAGCAGTATCGGTACTACTTAGTTAAAATTGAGTTTTGGACTCGATTAAAGTTCGAAACATTTAATAAAAATTATTTCAAAAATATTTCCAATATAAATCATTTTCGAATTATCCGAAAATTCGAAAAAAATTTGGACAGTATCGGTACTACTTTAGCAGTATCGGTACTACTTAGTTAAAATTGAGTTTTGGACTCGATTAAAGTTCGAAACCTTTAATAAAAATTATTTCAAAAATATTTCCAGTATAGATCTCAATTTTTTCATTTGAGTAAGGAGTAAAAATTGACGTTTTAAACTTTAAGTAATAAATATATATATTTGAATAATTGAATCGAATATAATCTTAAAATTTATAAAAATTAATTAATAAATTTATTTAGTATCTCAAAATGTTTTCAACAATTGTATTGTTAATGTATACTACTTTATGCTATTTAACATTTAGGGAATTATTTTATTGTGCTATGTTATTTAAAATTTTAATTGTAGTGGGGTATATAAGTATATAAACAAATTGTTGGAAAACAAGTAAATATGAATATTTTAATTTCTGTTAATTTTTTTTATTTTTTTGTAAAAAAAAATGGATTTGGATCTAGATATTTGGATATCCGATCTGAAATTTTAGATATCCAAATTTTTTGATATCTAATTTTTTTAAATATGATACGAATCATTACTTTAGGTATCTAAAATTTTTAAATATCTAAAAATTCGAATTAAATAATATCGATAATGCATACTCCTACTTTCAAGACTTGATTTGATTTCCTATCACCGTCTTTTTATTCAACAAGCTCCCCCTCACCAAACTCCCTGCAAATATATATAATTAATATATTCCTCATTGCTTCCATTCATCTCTATTATTGTTAACATCACTGATATCATCTTCCTGAATTCCTTTTTTATCTTCTCGAGATTTTTAAAGCACTACGGGAATCCGGCTTTTAGTAAGAATAATCTAATATTTTTTTTTTGTAAATTTAATTAAGAACTTTTTAAATTATATTTTTCATAAATTAAAATTTTTATATTATCATCTTCTTTTTTCTCTTATACTATAACATATGGAGTGGCTTCGATGATAAATAGAGTTGTGTTTATAAAAAGTGTACATATTATTCATAAATTAAAATTTTTAAACAAATATTACTTTATAATTATCTAAAATTATTTGAAAAAACCTCTCGTGTTAAAATTTAATATTTATTTTCAATCTTGATTATTTTTCACATAAAATCTAAGAAAAGTCTTATACTTGAAATATTGAGTACTCGACAACAACCTTAGAAGTTGATTGTCATATTGCTGCATCTCAATACCGTTGTTAATCATTGAAATTTAACATTTCAATTCATAAGCTAAATTAGTATTACCAATTTTTTTATACTAGTTCCAAGGAGTGAAAATAGTCTACTTTTACTCAAATTTCCATCATATCCATAAGTTAAATTGGTATTCTTGTTTTTTTTTTATATTACTCCAAGTGAAAATTATTCACTTTTACTCAAATTCCTATTATTATATATTTATTCTATTTACTTTTAGGGTAAACTACACATTTAATACATAATTTATCAGTTTTGATATGTTTTAGTATCTTCAATTTTTTCAAAACCATAGCTAAAGTTTAGTTTTTGTTTCATTTTAGTATACCCCGCCGTTAAATTTTGAAAAAAATAAAAGTCTAAATACCAAAACACATTTAGTACCTAAATCATACTTTGAAAATTTAGGTACTAAAACGTATTAAAATTGGTAGTTTATGTACTAAACACGTTAAGTTTTTAACGACGGATATTAAAATGAAAAAAAAAGTAAACTTTATGTATGGTTCTGAAAAAATTGAAAGTTTAGATACTAAAATAGATAAAAAAAAATGATAGTTTAGAGACTAAATATGTAATTTACTCTTTGTTTTATAGTATTCTTTCTGCACTCTGGACCAGTTCTCACACGGGTACTAGGAAAAACTCTGTTTAATACGTTGTTTGACATTGAGACGTCCATCTCAGCGAATGTGGGAGCCCATTCCTTTCGTATCTCTCGTTATGACTTAAACAATAATGAGGAAATGTTTCATGCCAAACTATATAGCCATGGTGTCAAAATTCCTCCTCTCTAGTCAATAACGTCGAGATGTCTCGTTATACTCCAATGAAAAAAGATTTCTTCACTGTCTCGTCACTGTCAAACTAGAAAGTTAATATACCTCTATTACAGATAAATTACGTCAAGATGCATCTACCTATTCCCTACATAAGCATTGAGACGCCTTCACCCAACATGTAGTCTCTATATTAGAGGTATATGCAGCATATGTATGCATGTAAGCTGAGTAAACAACAATTAGCTGAGTCAGCAGCAATTAGGAGTTTGTTAGCTGTTAGTAGGTCGTTAGCAGTAACTGCTTGTAAAACCATGTATTAATAGCTTGCAGATGTATAGCTTGAGACATATAATTTCCATTAATGAATATGCTTGTATTCTGTTAAGAAGCAGTAACTCAATATGGTATCAATTGCCGGTGGTTCTGGGTGACTTTGAGGAGTTTATTTCCGCTGCTTGTGTCGCTCTTGCTGTCTTGTTCTTACTATGGATCTTACGCTTGGATGTGCGAAGAGATTCTCGAACAAGAAGGTCAACATCATCCTTGATGAGACAAATTTCTTGTTGTAGAAGCAGCATATCCTGTTGACAATTCAGAGTCACCGCCTTGAACGACTCTTAATCGGAGCCATGATTCCTCCACTAGAGACTGTGATAGATGATGATGGTGAGGAACGCATTAATGAAAGCTATGAAGAATTTGTTGCACAAGATAGTGTTGTTGCTTCTTGGCTGTTATCGACCATCAACCCTCATCTTCTTCGTCAGTTCGTGGGAGCAGAAATTGTTGCAGCAGTTTGGCAAACAGTGTTGCAATTCTTTGCAAACATGTCCACAACAGCGTTAATGAATCTTTATTACAAACTTCACTCGTTGAAGAAAGGCGGTGACAACATGCACACTTATCTTACACGAGTGAAAGAGGTGTGTGATGCACTTGCTTCTTGTAGGAGTGTTATCTCTCATATCGAGCATATTGTTACAATCTTGAAAGGTTTTCCACGTGAATACCAGCCATTCATGGTAGTTATAACAACTATGAAAGAAACATTGTCACTATATAGCATTTACACAATGTTAATGGATGCTGAGTCACAGTTGGTTGGGTTTGATGAACAAGCTGACCTGCTGCCTGTTAGTACAAATCTAGCTCAAGGCAATATGGGTCGTGGGTCTTTCAATGCTCCCAATCGTCAAGATTTCAGGTCGAATCGTTCTGCTAATGGACTTGGTATGAGGAACAATGGCAGGGGCGTGGGCAAACTAGGTTACAGTGCCAGCTCTGTGCCAAACTTGGCCATTTAGTTGACCGATGCTGGCATCGATATGATGAAGAATTCACTTGTGTATCAACTGACAGTTATAGTTCAACTAAAGAAGGCTCAGTGAACACACATTATACTTCTGGGAAAGGTAGTCAAAATTGTGAATATTGTTCTAAAGGATGTTTGGATGCTTCCTCTCCTAGCATGCAGCCATAAGCAAATGTAGTTATTGCAGCTGCTGATCGATGGGGTGGTTGACTTGGGGGCCACACATCATGTCACCTCTGATACGTCTAATATGGTAAATCAGTCTAAATTCCTTGGACCATGTAAGCTCACTGTAGGTAATGGAGTAGCACTTAATATTGACAGGATTGGCAAAGCTGTTATGTATTCTGCTTCTCGTGTGCTATTGCTAAATGAATTGTTACTTTTGAGACGTTTCTCTGCCCTGGCGACGGAGAGTGCAAATAGTACACCCTAGACAGTGTAACTAGTCTCGAAAAAGTAAGTGCTTATCCTCCATGAATCAAATAAAACACCAAATTGTAGAGTCGCCGCCAATTTTTTATTTGGTGAGATTGGTCACCAAAATGTCATATTATTTTAATAAAAATTCTTAAGAATATTATTAAAATAATACAACTCGGGTCTGCTTACCAGAAAAATGAGTTCGGGAGTCGGTTACGTATGGGAGAGAATTAGCATTCCCACAACGCCCAAAATTGGTACCAGTATTTATTAATTAAATGTCTTTGCAGTAAATAATAGACTTGCTTTCTAAATTCAAATTTAATATAAATAATTACTAAGTAATATTTAACATAAATATTAATCATTTTATT